AGCAAACACTATACAAAATAAATAAACGCTATAACTGTATTAGTATTTTCGAAATGAAATTATTAGGAGAACTGGCTAAGGGGGAGCTGAAAGTCCTGGACGTTTTTAGATTAAAGTAGGAAACTAATAAATTTGGAAAATATGAATATACGAAATACTAGGAAATGACATTTAGGCCCTAAACTATAATAAAGTTATTTGCACAAGTACAGTATTTTTATTAACAAAATTTTGCCGGCTATAACGCCGCACGACATGCAGCTTTGCAAGCAGCAATTCCATTTAAATTGTGTTTTGAAAACGGTCATGTTCAGCCAACACATAAAAATAATAAAGTACGACTTGCTTTTTTGTTTCGATATATTGATTTTCAAAAAGATAAGAAATAAAATTTTGTTAAGTTCCTATAAGGTACCATTATAAAAATAAAGAACCAGATGCAGAAGCGAGAATGTGAAAATGTATGCGGAACTTGCGTAATTTCGGAAGCGGAAGTGTATGTCTGTGGCAACACTAGTAATAATAAGCAATATTTTTACGAAGATCTGTTATGTAATTTGTTTCTTTGAAAAAACTTCCGAAAATTATTTCCTTCGGGTTTCGATCTACATTAAGGACATATGGGATAGGAAGATGCATCTGGTGGCAGAGTTACGTATTATCGTTGTGTTCGAAACACTTGATCGCCGGGGGTAGTTGTTCGTGGCAATTAAATTTGTTTTAATTAACTTCATTTGGAGGTAACGAAGACTGTCTACTGCACTTAATACCTACGGCCTTCCACCTTCACAATAAAACCACCGTCGGCTTAGAAATATCTGAGTCAGAATTTAATTAGTCCATAAACAAGTTAATAAGCGTTTCCTTTGAAATTTTCTACAAACCTAGCCGTACCTATCCTTTATTTTTTTTTTTTTTACTTTTTTCCTTGAGAACCACACAAAGTATCGCCTCAAGATTCTTAAAACTTTAATTAGAAATTTTCTTCGGAACCCGAGTTTAACTTTGAACAGTTGATAAGAAGCGACACCGTCACTCGTTAACTTTAACCCTATTTGCACTGAAATAGTTGACCCTTTTTTAACTTGTCGCCTATTAAATCTCGCTTTTACGAACTTTAAATTCGTTTCGATTTGACCCGTTTCTATTCATGATTTCGTACTTCACGAATTAACTGCAAAACCAACGAACTTTGAGATTCTTAAAAAATTTCTTCGAATACGAATACAATCAGGAATATTTAAAAGGGAGGACTCGAAAATGCGTTGCCAGGAATATCAAAGTCCTCGAGTTCAAATTTATGTTGGTACAGACGATTTCTAGACCTTTCTCTTATAGCAAGCCGCCCAAGCAGAACATCACAGTTACTTGATTTAAAAAAACTTTCAAAAAGATAACTCGAAGAAGAATTATCTCTTATCCCATTGTTAGTTTCATGATTTTGTATATAAGAACCTAAGGGTCTTAATAAAGGATAGAGACGTTTTCTGGAATTGTTGAAGTTTGTAGAATATAATAATATAATATGAAAAAAGATTCAAGGCCGAAGAGGGTAGCAATGTCTTTATCGAGTTATAGTTATTATCAGATATAGAAGAGTGATACTTAGTTTGTATAAAGAGCAACAGGNCTCTTGAATTACTCTATCTATTAAAAGAAAAACGCATTAAAATCCGTTGCGTAGTTTTAAAGATCTAAGCATACATAGGGAAAGACAGCGGGGGAATTGCGTTGCATGATTTCGTTACATAGCAACTCGCACGAAACGAACTTACACAACCGTGGGTAAAGAAATTTCACTTTCACTTAACATTCACAGTTTAATAACTCTGCACGAGATACTTATAGCAATGGTGTTCCTTTGAATATATCTTGTATGTATAGTTTCGCTAACTTCTTCGGCAACCATCAACGTGTTAAACTAGTAAATATCCTAATAGTACACACGTATGTATATATATATATATGTGTGTGTGCATGACTAGTTGGGGAGATTGCCAAAGTTTGAACGTGACAATTTCGGAGTGAGAGCAGACTTAATTTTCGAAAGATCCGTCTGAAACCGAGACATAGGTCACAGAGAGTGACGCTAGAGAGATCCCTTAGTTCATTTTGTCCTACCATTATGAACCCGTCGGTGATTTCCAAGACGATTTCGATTCAATTACGGTTTTCAAAGTTCTTCCGCGGCAGCGGCCGCTTTGAATGAGTCAAACAAACAACAAACAACTTCGGAAACGAAATACACCAACCAGAAGGATTATTATCATCTATCTTTAGAGGACATTAAGGGTCCTTCTCCCAGCTATTTTCAATGCCGCAGCTACACTAACAAATACCGTCTTATTTAGTGAAGCCGCCCATTTTTAAATTTTAGATAAATATTCACAGAGAAATTAACCTTATCAATCACTTTTTCCTAATATATTTTTTTTAGATTCTGTATGAAAAATATTATTAGCTTGATCGAAAGCTTTTTAAAAGTAGTCCACAAAGTTTGAAAATTAATGATGGTCTTTTATTTATTTTGTATTTAGAAGTCTCTCAAATATTGTCGAGTCATTAAATGTTAACAAGTATGAATTGAATTAAAAAAGCTCTGAACTTAATTCTGGTTGATATTCTTATATTTATGTGAAAAAATTTCCGACGTTTCGCTCTTGGTTTGGATCTTTTTCAAGGTTATTTGCTTGGTTTTAGTTATTAGTAGTGACAATCAACATAGCTCCTAGCTAATTGGAAACTCTGTAGAATAATTTAGGAAAACTGTTTTTAACCATTTAATGGTTTTTGAATGGTAACAGCAAGAAGCTGTTAACTGTCACTGCTTATAATTAAAAGCTCCAAACCCAGGAGCGACACGTCGGCATTTTTTGCAAATAAATACAAGATTATTAACCAGAATTAAGTTCAGAGTTTTTCTATTAAATGTGAAGGCTTCACTTTTTTTACATTTACCATTTAAAAAATTTTGGTCGTAACAAAAACTTTCTGAAGACGTACGTCAAAAAGTAATTTCAGCAGAATAAAAAAAAATATTAATCGAGAAACAGGCGATCCGCGCTAATTTACATATACAGGATGGAACGTTTTGCCACAAACTAAGATTACTGTGTACTACTGTCATTTTGTTAATTCATTTAGAACTAGCCATTTTGTTTACCGTATCCGCGCCCTGCATAGGTACCTATGATATATCTAAAAATATTTCGTAAATGCTCTAAATTTTTTTTCATCAATTCGTCGTTACAAATGAAAATGATTCATCCAAAACGAAACACCGAAAAGCCTAAAAGTTTCGCTGCAACATGTGACAAACGCATTCCAATTAATGTTGTATCCTCATCCCTTCGTAGACAACCGCTTTAACTGTACAATCTGAATAGATCTAGAGTGCTTTTGATTTGGGTTTATTGAATTGCAAATAACGAAAATATGCACCATTTACAGACAAGTTCCTGTATTTAAAAATAGACTACCAAAGGAGCTGAATTTTTAACAACTTTCTAGTATTTCGTCAGGTTAACGTAAAAGAAGAATACTTATTGTGAGAGCAAACTTTCTTATTTTATTCTGAACGTAACAAGACACTCATTAGAATGATAACGATTTCTGTATGATATATAGTTGTTTTACTTTTATTTATTAGAATGTATCCCCAGTATATGTACCTAATAATTCTATGTTAGAAACTAAATTTTAACTTCTTTTGGTCCTGACGATACATCATTAAAATTCTTTAACAAGGCAGAAAACAAGGACATATACAAGGACTTCGTTAGTCTTTCCTGGAACCATCAAAATCGGAATTTTTGTATAGTTTGCTCCGATATTACAACCAGATGCTGTTATATAAGTAAGGTACATAGTTTCGTATTAAAATACTGTCGCCCTTAGGTACTACAGTAGAACCCCATTGTTACGTTAAAGTTTAAATGTCTTTAACATGAAGTTAAAGAGCTATTACTTATCGTATGAATACTTAGGCAAACAATAATATTAATTGTAGGCGAAATCGCCAAGCATTGTAAATCTACAATCAAAAATATTAACATTAGTACATTTTTTACGTTAGGCTGGTTATACACGAAGCCGATCAAACTGTGGTCGGACGGTTGGGACGTTGACAGAAACCGGATCGGATCGTAAGTGCATCAAGTGAAAAGACATTGATATCCTAATCAAATTGAATTCTTCATTCCGTATAAAATAGATCGAGGGCAGTTAATCTAAGTACAGTCAAAATGTCAACTTCAAGTGACCAATTACTACAGTAATCAGAAAAGGGCTTCGCTTATATGAACATATGACGAAAGATTCATGTTCATGTAGCGAATGTTCATCTCAGGGTACATTCGTTAATAAAGAAAAGAATAAAGACATAGTCGATGAGGAATCGGATCCGATCGTTATAAGCCGTGTGTTTAGAGTATACATTGTCTGACTCGTGCCGGATCGTGTCGTTATAGAAGTGATATTAGTTACGTATCGGATACGTGCCGGATGTTTGTTGTCTAACCGTCGTCATTCCGACTGTAGTAAGATCGGCTTCGTGGACAACCGACCTTAGGAATAAAATGAACATTAAATGGTGGGCCGTTTTACGTATCAGGTGTTTAAATCGTCGAGGTTCTGCTGTAATACTGTTGAATTTAAAATGGCGCTTACTTCGTCGTTGTATAACTTGTTGCGTGATCTGTCAATGTACAAGGTGATTAGAGACGCCTCTCGCTGTTGTTCTTAATTATATGACGAAACACATCACCCAATTCGTCCGAGATGATACCGACCAAAGTTTAATGCGATTCTCCGTGACCGTTGTGTGCAGCCAAACTTTTATGCATGCTATTTAGTTTATCGCATTACTGTATTACTGCCTATAATCGGAACTGTGATACTGCACCTGCGTTAGAACTGTCTGAATGTTTGTACTTTGTCGCGTGATCAAAAAGATGCCGACGCACACGACTAATAATTCTTTTGTTGTTTTGCAAGCGCAGACCGGAAGCTGTTTGTGGGCATGCTGAGCAAGCAACAGACCGAAGAAGATGTCCGGCAAATTTTCGCACCCTACGGTACAATAGAAGAGTGCACTATCTTACGAGGACCTGACGGCGCTAGCAAAGGTAAGTTTATTATTAAACTACAGGCCTGACGCTGGAAGCTGGCGGAAATTTTAAAATGGCGTGGATGCGCGGTGGCAAAAGTAGGCAGTTTTAGGTATAAAGATTGCAGTCGTCACTCTTCAATATTCCTATCAGGGGCGTAGATTAAATATTTAAAAATAGGGATCAGTGAACAAGTAATAGACAGACAAACAGAAGAACTAATTGTTGATGTTGGTGACAGTGATAGAGATTCCCATGATGAGAGTGAATGTGAAAACTAACTATAAAAC